ATTAAGTTCGATTTGAGCTCAAGTTCAAGGATCAACTGTTCATGATGGCTACCGCAGACACAAAGGACATTGCCTCGGATCCCCAGCAACAAACCGTGAAGGAACTGAGAGCAGAACGAAGTCAACTCAGATCAAATATCACGCAGATTATAAAGAAAGTCAAGTCCCTCATGTCTGATCCAGAAAACTTTGAAGAAGTTTCTTCCTTGGCGAAATCCATGGAAGACAATCTCGCCCAGTTCATGGCAGTTCAGACCACATATGATGCAGCACTCACGAGTGCGGCCCAGAAACGCAAGTCAAGGGACTTTCAGGAAGCAGTTGTTGCTGAAACGTCCGAGATAGGTGACATAATTCAAACCTGGCTCCTTGGTGCACGGAAAGAAGTGGAAGATGACCAGAAGCAGGAAACACTCCAGTATCCTTATCCGTCCAGTCAACTCGGGAGACAGACGGGCCCCAGAAGTACTGTGACAGACCGCTCCATAGCTTCTAGTGCTAAACTTCATGCAGCTGCAGAAAGGGCAGCCCTGGAGGCCGAAGCTGCAAGTGAAAAGCAACGACAAGCTCTTGAGGAGGAGGAGTTAAGGCTACGCCAACAGCGCAGACAGATTGAGCTGCAGACAAAAATTGCCAGAGCTGCTGCTATGGAGAAGACATATGCTGAGTTCGAGAAACTTGAAGGCCACTCAGCACCAGTGGAAAACTCCACCCCAAATGCCCAGCCTAAGGACAAGGATGAAGAACCCAGAACACCTTTGAGAGCCAAAGAAAGTGAGGAGGGTCATCAAGTGGTTGACTTTCCTTCGCCTATTTCCCCCATCGCTAACACCACAAGTGTTGCAGATATTCTGACGCAGATGCTTAACACTAGTCAGCAGCAGCAACAGTCATTGGTAGACACCCTGCAGTTGCCAAAGACTGAACTTATGACATTCAATGGAGACCCCATCGAGTATTGGCCGTTTATCCGTGCTTTTGAAAACACAGTAGAGAGAGAATCGGTTGGCGATGCAGCTAAGCTGGCCCGCCTGCAGCAGTATTGTACCGGTCCAGCCAAAAGGCTTATCCAGTGCTGTGCAGTCAAGTCTCCAAGTGAGGGCTATTTGTTGGCCAGAAAGCTGCTCAAGGAGCGCTTTGGTAATGAGCACGACATCTGCGAGGCATGGATAAACAAGATAGTCACCCGACCCGACATTCGTGACAACAAGGCCCTGCGAGACTATGCAGATGACTTGCGAAATTGTCGTGAGACTCTCGACACCATGGGAAAGCTCAGTGAGATCAACACCGGCAGGAGCCTAACTCAGATTGTTGAAAAGCTGCCTTGGGACCTGCGGAAAAGCTGGCTTAAGAGGGTCCACCATATCAAGACGGTCGAGAGCAAAGTTCCTACCATTGATGATGTTGTAAAGTTCGTTGCAGCGTCAGCGGAGCAAGTCAATGATCCCGTATTTGGCAAGCTAGTCAACCGAGATGACATGAGCAAGTCACGTAAGAACGTCAAGCAACAAAGTCAGTCCAGATCGAAACAGCGATCAACTTTCTCTGTACAGGCACAGCCGGCATCTGCTCCTTCAGCTGCCGTGAAATATCAAGCAGCACCTGTGTCAACATCGAATCTCAGAAATGAAAAACCGCCACCCGTATGTGCATATTGTGGACAAGCACATGGGCTCTTTGGCTGTGCACCCTGGAAAGGTCTGAGAGTTGCTGACAGACTGAACTTTGTCTTGGGCAAGCAGTTGTGTGTGAATTGCCTTCAGCCAGGTCATCGCGCCCGTGAATGTAGAAGACAGGCAGTTTGCACTGTGCCAGGATGTGGACTTAAGCATACCAAGTTCCTACACCTGCCCCGTACGAGGAGCGATGACTCACCTCCGAGTCAAGCCTACGGCAATCCCACTCCAGTTGTTTCGCAGCTGCCAAGCCACCCAACTCCAACCGAATCTAGTCAGTCGACATCAAGCGCTTCATCCCATGTGACATGTAGTGCCACTGGGGCCGGCGTCAGTAAAGTGGCCCTACCCATTGTTCCAGTCAGGGTGCGACAACATGGAAGTTCCACAGAAGGTGTAATCACCTATGCATTGTTGGACTCTGGTTCAACACAGAGCTTTTGCTCTGAAGCTTTGAAGGAGAAACTTGGAGTACCAGGAAGGCATGAAAGGATGAAGTTGACAACCCTTGAAAACCACGACACACCCATTGATACCTTTGCCGTCACCCTTCAAGTCACCGACATGAATGATGACAACATTCTTGTCATGAAACACGTGCTAACCAGGCCCAAGTTCCACGTCAGTTCCAACTGCCTTGTGACCCAGAAAGAGTTGACTAGATGGCCACACTTGCGTGATATCCCCTTGCCTGACATCGATGCAAGAGAAGTTCACTTACTCATTGGGCAAGACAATCCACTAGCTTTGACACCAAAGGAAGTTCGCGAAGGTGGCCCAGGGACACCCTATGCCGTGAGGACTATCCTTGGCTGGACCTTGAATGGACCGATTGGAAATGGGCAGACGAAACACGTGGCTTCACACTTCACCAGAGACCGACAACGACCTCCAGCGCCTTGTTGAAAGGTTCTGGAAAATAGATGACATTGGAAGTAATGAGCCCGCCATGTCCATCAATGACCAGAAGGTAGTTTCCATGTGGGAACAGTCTCTGTGTCTAGACGAAGGTCACTATAGTCTAGACATTCCATTTAAGATCAGGCCACCCCGTCTTCCAGACAACAAAGTCATTGCTGAACACCGATTGAGTCTGCTTGGTAGGCGTCTGTCACAAAACTCTGACATGAGAGAAAAGTATGTTGCCAACATGTCTGACCTACTTGCTAAAGGCTATGCAGAGGAAGTACCAGAAGAGGAGTTGGACAGGTCTGACGGAGCTGTATGGTATTTGCCACACCACCCGGTGGTGCATCCAAGAAAACCTGGCAAAGTCCGAATTGTATTCGATTGCTCGGCGAAGTACTGTGGCACATCCCTGAATGACAACGTATACCAAGGCCCAGACTTGACCAATCAGCTCCTGGGAGTTCTCCTTCACTTTCGTCAAGAAACCATTGCCTTGATGGCTGATATTGAAGGAATGTTTAACCAGGTGAAAGTGAATAAACCAGATCGTGACGTCTTGCGATTCTTGTGGTGGAACAACGGTTTCAACGAAGATCCGAAGACATGCCGCATGACGACCCATCTCTTTGGTGGAGTCTGGTCACCGAGCACTGCCAACTTTGCCTTGAAATGCACAGGAAGAGACAACGTCAGTCGATTCGATCCCGAGACAATCTCCACCATTGACAAGAACTTTTATGTGGACGATTGCCTCACATCGGTGACCACGGTTCAGGCCGCTTCAAGTCTCATCAGTCAGCTTTGTCAAGCTTTGTCACTCGGGGGCTTTCATCTGACCAAATGGCTCAGTAATTCACGAGATGCTCTGCGAACAGTTCCAGAAGCCGACCGAGCTAAGGGGGTTCCCACTGTTGACATGGATCGTGAGATGTTGCCAACCGAACGTGCCCTTGGGGTGTTGTGGGATACTCAAGCTGACATGTTCACATTCGATGTGTGTTTGAAGGACAAGCCGCTAACTCGCAGAGGGCTGTTAAGCACGATCAGTTCACTCTACGACCCGCTTGGCTTTGCCTGCCCCTTTGTGTTGACAGCCAAAATTCTGTTCCAGCAGCTGTGCAGGCTGAAGGTTGAATGGGACAGTCTCATGCCTGATGACATCGCCCATCAGTGGAATGGCTGGAAGACAGATTTGCCAAACCTGAAGAACATGACGGTACCTCGCTGCTTAAAGCCACTTGGTTTTGGAGAAGTCACATCTGCACAACTCCACCATTTTTCTGACGCTTCAGAGAAAGGGTATGGTGCAGCAACATATCTGCGGATTCAGGACACCAGTGGCAAGATGCACTGCCAGCTAGTCATGGCCAAGGCGAGGCTCGCACCAATCAAGACAACAACCATTCCACGTCTAGAACTCATGGCAGCCGTCATATCAGTCAAGCTAGACGAGCTAGTTTGTCAGCATTTGTCGATGCCCCTGGAAGAGTCGACGTACTGGACTGACAGTACAATTGTACTACACTATCTTCAGAATCAGGAGAAGCGCTACCAAGTATTTGTAGCCAACCGGGTGTCAAGGATTCTGGAGCACACTAGTCCAGCCCAGTGGAGATATGTCGAAACCCAAACAAATCCAGGCGATGATGTTTCTCGCGGCATGACAGCTGAAGAGCTTGTCCTGAATGATCGATGGATCTCTGGACCACGATTTCTGTGGGAAGACAAAAGTGAGTGGCCTCCACAACCAGACTTGAGCCACAAGACACTACCTGATGAAGCCGAGGTGAAAAGGGACACTGGGGTGTACAGTACCATGTCAAGGAAAGACGGAACCGACATACTGGCAGCCCTTCTGAAGAAGTTTTCATCTTGGTACCGGTTGAAAAGGGCAGTTGCCTGGCTTCTCAGGGTCAAAGCTGTACTACTCGCAAGAGTCCAAAAGAGAGAGAGAGATATGAAATTGATGGGACGTCTGACTGTTAGGGAAATCCTGGTGGCAGAAGATGCCATTGTGATGGCCATTCAGAAAGACAACTTTGATGACGCCACTCTGAAGTCGAGCAGTTATTGCAAACTCTCTCCATCAAGGTTCAGCGATGGCATAATTCGCGTTGGAGGACGTCTTGCCAACTCACCCCTGATGAGTGATGAAGCCAAACATCCCCGATTATTACCAGCGAAACATCCAGTCATCCCCTTGATTGTGAGGCACTACCATGTGGCATCAGGACACGCTGGAGCTGAGCGCACACTCGCAGAAGTTAGACAGCGCTTTTGGATCATCAAGGGCCGTGCAGCAGTCAAGTCTATTGTCTTCAATTGTATCCCATGTCGTAGAA